AAATGAAAGCAAAAAATTTTTTTAAAAAAATGCGAAAGGCTACCAGTTGCCAATCGTAGCGCATTCCCGATTCGCGTGAAGAAACCAACGCGTGTTCTGAGCAGCCCGAACACAGCCCCAAAAGTTCAGCTTCGGGCTGTGGGGCCCATCCCATGCACGACGTCTCCTGTGCCCGTCGCCCCACGCCCTACACTCAAATAGCTTCTCACTCATCAAACGACGTATCGAATCGAAACGTGGCGCCGTATGGCGCGCGGCTCGACCTTTGGGATGCACGCTCTCTCACACATGCACAGCTCCTCTCTCGCTCCCTCTCTCTCTCCCACACATACACAGGCTTCTTGCACTCTGCCAGGTCGCCACCTCCTAAGCTCGTTCTGAATTACAAAATCCACTCGCTTTTACGAATTTTTCGGCGGGTGGCAGAGGAGAAAATGCCGCTTATTGACGTGTACGTCGAATGAAATGAAGCATTTTCATTCCGCGCTTTACACCCCTCTACCTGTTAAGGTAGAAACTGACGGCCCGAACGGTTGCACAATTAACGGATCACCCGGAAAGTACGCCAGTAATTGGTCGCCAGGAAGGAACCTGACAACTTTAGCCTCTGCAAGCTCTCATATAGCGCCTGATGCTAGGCAATATCCTGACTGCAGTGCATGCGTGTACTGCAGGGTGGCCTATCCCGACTCTCACAGGCGCCAGGGCTCCACAATTTGTCTAAGGAATCCGAGAAAAACGGTCGTGCTCTCTGAACGATGTCACTAAGCCACAACTCTCCTTTGAAGCCTCAAGTTTGTTAAAATTATTTTGCACCTCACGGATTATTCATAATTAGAACCGCGACATGGCTGTTTGCGCGTGATTGGTGGGGAGAACGTCTTGAAACTGCTCCGTGCTGGTATGTTTGTGTCATGGATTGTGTGATATTGTAATTCGGCCTCAACTCTGCGCATCCTACACAACGCCTCCCACAAAGGGGAGGGTCTTGTGAAACAAGCAGGGCACGGGCGCACGAGAGGTAATGTGTGCGACACCTGACGGTGCATACCGGCCAACCATTCCAGCGGCAGCAGAAGAAAGGCTGGGGAGGCGGGAGGCGACCGTTTTGCAAATAGGAGGCCGCGAGCGCCACAAGCCACGCGGAGCAGCGCAGACGGGGGAAAAAATCGAGATGTTCGACCAAACGGACGAATAAGCATGCGATGTCACCAGTCGCGGCTCAGGCTCAGGACTGTTACAGTTACACACCATGGACGGGACGTGTATTCTCTGTGCCAACGCGCTTTGATTACCAAACTATAGCTGTAAGATCGGATAGAGAACGGGTTCAAACTAACGAATTTGGGAAACAATAATTAACGTATGCTTTGTAATTATTTTTGTTTGGTCTTACCATCAGACGGGGGCGTATATGAGCTCACACGCGTACCCACACGAGCTCACAGTAGTAGTTCGTTTGAACACGGATAAAGTTAGCTCGAGATCGTTTGAAAGCACTTTGCTATCCCCTTCCTAAAATACACACGTCTGTTGCCGTGTTTCAAACCGATCTTGAGAGACACGTGTGCATATGAGTACGCGTCAGCTCAACTTATTTACACACCCCTATGGTATGGTCAGGAGTCGGACAGAGTATGCGGAGGGGGTGTGAAGGGAGGGTGCTCTAAGCAGCGAAGTGGGGAGGGGCCGCGCCCCGCCTTGCCCCACCACACCCACCCCGCCAGCTCTACGCGGCCGGTTAGGGGACAGCTATATAACCCCACACCTTGCTGAACTTATCACTGCAGTCTGTGGATCATATTCGGACGACACACACGCGCGCCATGTCCCTCAAGGTGTGTAGTAAAGCGAGCGTGGTTGCAAGCGAGCGAGTGAGTGTCGTTGTGAGAGCGCGTTGTTACGAGTGAGCATCGTGAGTGAGCGAGTGCGAGTGAGTGTCGCTGTGAGTGAGCGTCGTTGTGAGTGAGTGAGTGAGTGAGTGAGTGAGTGAGTGAGTGAGTGAGTGAGTGAGTGAGTGAGTGAGTGAGTGAGTGAGTGAGTGAGTGAGTGAGTGAG